TGGGGCTTCGTCTGACATACTTTGGACATATTGCAAGGAGAGACAGGTCTTTGGAGAGGGACATCATGCTGGGTAGAGTAGAGGGACCGCGCAGGAGGGGAAGACCCTCTATGAGGTGGATTGATTCAGTGACTGGGGTAATCGGGATGGGTGTGTCAGAGGTAATGTTATTGGCACAGGATAGAGTGGGGTTTAGGGCTGTTGTACATAGGGTCGCTATGAGTCGCAATCGACTCGACGGCACATAACAACAACAACAACAATGAATGATTGTATGAAACACAATGTGAATGAAGAATAGTGAGAAACACAATGTAAACAAACTTTGCAGGCAAACCAATATAAAATAAAGAAATTGGTTATTTAACAATTTAAAAAAGTCCCCCAAACTATAAAAAAAAAAAATCCCAACAAAACAAACCCATGTTGGGGCGAATGGTTGCATTCAGCCCCATTGCCTGGGCCAGGTATGCCGAGTTTTGGAGGTAGGCACAGAACTGACAGGAGGGAGTGTTGTCATGTGCACTGAGAATCTGGAGTACAGAGAAGGTGTCTGAATGAGACACCCTAGGGGGTTGGCACCTGTGGGTGCGTGGTGGGGACTTGGCTTAAGCCATGTCTTCTCCAGGGCTGGGCCTTGGGTTCTATTAATTGCTGGCTTCCCTCTAGGTCCCTCTGAAGTTAGGGGAAGATGGGCAGGTTCATGATCCATGTGGCCACTTGGGACTAGCTCTTGGTGGGCTCCAAGGAACAGGTGCATCTGAGCTTGGTTGGTGAGCACCAGGAGGCCAACATGGAGAAGCAGCTGCAGCCAGTGTGGGGCAAGGTCGGTGAGGGCTGGACCCTGGAGGCCACCAGGTGGTGAAGGAACATTTCTTGGAAGTTTGGAAAAAGGGGCCTTAACTTAACAGTCTGAAATAGTTGGATAGTTTTCCTTTACTCAATTCATTCAGCGGCTCTTTGAAGGAACTCAACACCACTTCCTGAGTTAAACAGTCCTGTTGGGTTCTCTTTCTGGACACTAGAAAACCAAATTTCTAGGAATGAGGCCACCAGGTGGTGGAGGAGGAGGACCTCAGCCTTGAGGGTGCCTGAGAAACCAGACCAGGGAGTGAAATGGGGGGCCTGGTGGGAAAAGGCAACCACAGACGGGGTGGCAGAAAGTATGCCATTTCCTCACTTAACTGGAAGATATAGAGATGAGGTGTCTGCTGGGGCCACAGGGGTTTGGACTCAAGGAACTGGGGAATAGAGGTCCGCTGATAGATAGGTTGCTCTTCCCCCTATTTAAAAAAAAAAGTCTGCATACAATTATTCATATACGTTGTGTTTCATTCGTTTTGTGCAATCCTTCATATTCCTTGCATTTTACAAAGTTACTATTGATCTATGCTTATTATCATCCCATCTTTCAAGTCTGCATTCAACCTTTCCTCTTGCCTCACCTCCTATCTTCCCATTAACCTGCTATCCCTGTGATTTCCTCTTTTTCTGCCTCCCCTTTCTCCTATCCCTTCCCCTTTTGAGCTTTATTTCTTGCTCAGTTATCTTCCTATTTTCACAATAGTGGTCTTTTGCAGTATCTGTGAAGCTGTTTCACTGAGCATAGAGCTCTGTAGGCTCTCCCACGTTATGTGGTCTTTCTCTTTCAAGGGTTGTGATCACGGATCTGCTATCTGAGTATCCCCAGACCTGCCTCTGAATTGCATCCTGTTGGGCAGGAGTTTGAAGTCAGTGTCCTGCTGCACCTGCAGCGCCTCCTGCTGGTGAAGCTGTTCCAGCACAAAAGCCTGGTGAACTTGGACTGGTTCTGCAAGTGGTTTATGGTGCAGGGCCCAGGCATCAAAGGCAAAGCCTATTTCCCAGGTGAATTGACAAGGTGGCTGCAATGGGCTCTGGTGTGTCAGGAAGTGTGAGGATGGCACAGGACAGATCAGAGTTCAGATCTTTCATCCATAGGGTCGCTATGAGTTATGCTAGACTCGATGGCATCTGACAATAGTGTGGTTCAGGGTGAGGGGATTAGTTGTTTGGCTGAAGGCACTGGTGAGGGGGAATGAGTGAGGGTGGCACTTGGAGGGACAGAGAGAGAATGGATCAGTGGTATGTTCTGAGAGAGATTGAGGAGTGGGGGCATAACAGAAAAATAATGGATCAGAGGGATGCTAAGAGGGAAGGAGGAAAGAGAGAAGGGGGATCAGAAAGGCAAAAGGGGATGTGGCCAAGGAAGGTGGTTGGGCGGGAGTGAGGGGCCAGCAAGGATGTGTCAAGGAAGGACTCTGCTCTCTGATCCTGTTGCCCCAGCACACACCTTAAGAGAGGAGTCCCCAGAACCTGTTTAAGAGACACTGAGAGCGGGTGCTCCAGGGAAGAAAGGAAGTGTCTCTCAAACAGGTTCGGGGGGGGGGTGTCCTCTCTTAAGCAATTCCACTACTGCTAATATATCCCAAAGAAACCATAACCACCACCCAAGTATATATACATATATATATTCTCCCCCCATGTTTATCGTGGCTTTGCTCACAGCAGAAAAGAGTTGGAAACAGCCTAAGTGCCACATCCATATTTGCCTTTTAGATGTCTCTAAACATTGTTAAATAGCCCCCGCTTTTGCCTTTTTGCTTTTTGTTTTGAATGAGGGAAATCGACTGTGGTTGAGAACCATCTCCTTCATTAAGTCACTCTCGACATTAAGGGTGAGTTAAGGCTGCTATAGGAAAACAACAAAAGAAAAACAACATTCCAGAGAAAATTGGAGTGTTTTTTTTTTATATAAAAGAGAAAGATTTTGCACTACATTTGACTAAAGCCTGTGGAAGAGGGGTTAAAGAAAATTAGAAACTTCATTAATAAATTCCAAGAGCCAGGACATGGAACGAATTTCTGCCTTCTGGGCTGCACTTAGAAGAGAGATTCAACCTCCAACCAGGAGAGAACAAAATAGATGAATGGGACCTTCTAAGAATCAAATCCCTATACACATCAAAATCTTTTTCAACAGAGTAAAAAGGAAAGCCACAGATGGGGAAAATATTTGTAATGGCGTATTTGATAAGGGACTCATATTTAATATATATCGAATACTCCAGAACCTCAGTAAGAAAAAGGTAAACAACTCAATCACAAAATGAACACAGGATATGCATAAATACTTCACCAAAGAAGACATTCATATGGCAAACAAACACATGAAGAAATGCTCAAAATTGCTAGGTATCAGAGAGAGGCAAATAAAAAAAATTATGAGTTATCATCTCACCCCAGTAATAGTAGCAAAGTAGAACAGAGCAACAAATAATAAATGCTGGGGAGGTTGTGAAGAAATTGGAACCCCTATTCACTCACTTTGGAAGGAGGAGTGGCATCCACTTCCATAATAGCTTGCCTCCGGAAACCCTATAAACCTGGAGAGAGGATGAAAGGCACCCAAGCATTGAGGACTCTCCTTCATAGGGTCTCTATGAGTCGCCTGTGACTCAATGGCACTTAACAACAACATCACCATTCACTCACTGCTGGTGGGAGTGTAAAATGGTGCAACCACTAGGGAAGGTGGTTTGGCACTTTCTCAAAAAGCTGGAAATAGGAATATCATTTGACCCAACAATTCCACTACTAGGAATTACACTAAAGAAACCATATCACCATCCAAACAGATAGATGCACACCGATGGTTATTGCTGAGGCAACCCAAGTGCCCATCAACAAATGAATAAATAGAAAAGCTACGATATATGCATACAATGGAATACTACACAGCACTGAAAAACAATTAACTTGTATAAGATTAGACAACATAGGAGACCCTGGAGCACATCATTTTGAGGGAAATATCACAGTCACAAAAGGACTAATATTGCCTATCACAACTGTTATAAAGCAGGCCTGACATGGGAGGGGTTGGGAGGAGAATAGGATAGAGTGGATAGACAATAACCATTGCATTGGAACAGTTCAAAGTAAGGACCGTCTAAAAGGGATACATGATTAGGTGTTCTATGTACGACAATAGCCCGTAATAAGAGGTATATCATTGCAAAGAGGACTGGGCCGTGGTGGGGATGGGGAGAGGTAGGTAATTGTGCAACAATGAATGAGTATTTTTTTAAAAAACATGAAAGTGCAACAATGAATGAATGGAAATCCAAAGTCTCTGTAAATTTTCATTAAAATTAATAAAAAAATAAAAATAAAAAAAATTTTAAAAAGTGAACTGGGGAGGGGTCTGGAAGGGGGTAAAATGTGCAGCAATACATGAATGATAATCTAACTTCTCTGTAAACGTCCATTAAAATCACAATTAATGTACATCAAGTTTATAATTAATGTTGATCAGGTACTCTTCTGATAATCTAAATAAAAATTGATGCTGTCTCTCCGAGATATATCTCTACTTATGTGTAAGGGTAGAAGATAAGATTTCTCTTTTTAAAATGTATGATCTGTAATATGAGTGATATTGTTATCCAAATAGTAAAAGATACTTCTAATGTTATTTTTTTGGTAAAATCCTGAATTATCCTGTATTTATGTATTTTTTTTCTCATTTCCTATTCATTATATGACTCTACTGAGGAAAAGATTCACAACTAGGTGGTGTGCAATGTTACTGCGCTGAATACCTTCTTTTATATATTATAAGAATTATAACATTAAAAAATCACAATTAAAACATTCTTTATCTAAAAGAAAGAAAAAAGAATGATTCAGACACAAAACTGATTCCCGTCAAGTCTAATCCTACTCGTAGCGGATCCTCCAGTGGTTTTCTGAAGCTGTCAGTGACACTCTAGGAGCCACTGGAGGATTTCAACTGCCAGAGAGACCCCACCTTTGGTCAGCAGTGCAGCTCCCAGTGGATATTTGTATTTAAATAAAATACTTGAATGAGTCTCTAGAGGAACCACCCTGGCAAGTAAGAGAAAAATAGATCTGAAACTGACCTACCCTTTCCCTCACCATCCAGGCTGATCTCTGTGTGAAGCTGAGTTCTCCCTGCTGGGTGGGTCAAGCCCAATGTTACCCTTTCCAAGCAGCAGTATGTAGCAGCTCCTCTGGTCGTGCTGAAGCTTGAGTCTGATGCCTATAGTCATACAGGTTAGAGACCCAGGCATCCTTGCCCAAGTGACCCATCAGACGCACAAACCCGCCTCCCTTCCCAGTCTCTTTTCTGCTCTAGCTCCAGCCACCTGGCCATGAATGTCCCCCACCCACTCCTGCTCTTCCTGCCCTTGTATGCCCACATGGTTTCGATTCTGGCCAAGGTCTGGGTCCAGAGCTCTGATTTCCAGCTGCATCACTTACAGTCATACCTGCTGAAGGAGCATCTGCTGACTGATGTGATTTCTGTGGCCACCAGGAGGAGCCTGCCCAGCCTGCATTCTATCTACAAGGTACTTCAGCATGCCTGGCATCCTGCACTTCACTAACTTGCATTTTTCACTCTTCACCTTAGCCTAACTTTGTAGCATAATGAGTTGACAAAAATATCATTTTAGATGTGGACACACACACACACACACACACACACACACACTCTCTCTCTCTCTACTGTGTTAACATTCAGGGTCCATGCCTCCTAAGAGGTGCAACAAATAGAGAATAGGTTTTACTAAAAAAATTTCTAGGTAAGTAGTGAAAGGTGGGGGTATTCCAGTTAGAAGGCATAGATATGAGGGGAAATGGGAATATAGATAATGGTAGATACTGCATATAATTTAATTCTAACTCACAAATTAGGTGAGGACGAAAGAGACATACAATCAGAAGGGAGGTGAGAAACGAAGGGAAAGCAAGCTGTCTTGTGTGGCAATAGAGAAGGAGCAAGAGGTCTGTTCTGACCATATAAACTTTCAGGATTGCTGACAGGAGCGTGGAGAGGGACCCATCTTATCTCAGGCCATCGCCAGTGCTGTGTCTGGCACTAAAAGCACATTTCTGTTTGTGTTCAAACACACATCTTAAGGGGGGAGTTTGGATATCATCTTTGAGTGGGGCCCTGCAGATTATTTAACACATAGATCTAATCCCACAGGGAACCGATATGGCTGCTGGCAATGTAAACAATGTTCGTATTTACATCTACAATTCCTGAACAAGTTGAACCACTGTAGGCACTGGAAACTTGCTATGGTCAAAACGGAACTCTTAAAAAAAAAAGACTTTATTTACAATTTATTTATTCATAAAATTATTTTTGCCATGACATAAAACTATTATTTTTCACATTAATCCATAATGCTCTCAGAAATATTAAATGACAGCATAAATTTGTAAGGAACTCTGGTAGCTTGTTGTTATGTGCCATCGAGTTGCTTGCAACTCATAGCGACCCTATGTACAACAGCTCTATACCCTGCTCTATCCTGTGCCAATTTTATTGTCTCCGACACACTTACGCCTATTATCCCAGTCCCTAAATCAATCCATCTCATCGAGGGTCTTCCTCTCTTGCGATGTCCCTCCACCCTCCCAAGCATGATGTCCCTCTCTAAGTACTGGTCCCTCCTTGTAACATGTCCAAAGTAGGTTAAAGCTTCAGAATCCTTGCCTCTAAGGAGCAGCCTGGTCTCACCTTCTCTAGGACAAACCTGTTTGTTCTCCTAGTTGTCCATTGTCCACAGATATTCAATACTCTTCTCCAGCACCACAGCTTAAAGGCATCAATTCTCCTTTTATCATCCCTAGACATTGTTCAGCTTTCTGATGTAGAACGAATAATTGCATACACCATGGCCTGGACCAGGCACACCTTAGTCTCCAAACTGACATCATTGCTCATTGAAGAGATCTCTGACAGCAGATTTTGTCAATACAATTCTTCTTTTAATTTCCTGACTGCTGATTCCAAGAGTGTTGATTGTAGAGCCTAGCAAACTGAAGCTATTAACAATCACAATCTTTTCATTGTCTATCATAATACTGTAAATTGGCCCAGTGGTGAGAATCTTTGTTTTCTTGATGTTGAGCGTCAATCCATATTGAAGGCTGTAGTACTTGATCTTCTGCAGCAAGTGCTTCAGGTCCTTCTCTGTTTTAGCAAGCAGGGTTGTGTCATCTACATACACAGATTGTTGTTGAGTCTTCCTCAAATCCTGATGCCACATTTCTCCTCATATTGCCCAGCCTGCTGGATAATCTGTTCTGCAGATTGAAGAGGTTTGGGATAGGACACATCCCTGATGTACACTATTCCCAATTTTGAACCATGCATGGTTTCCTTGCTCTATTCTGACCACTGCCTCCTGGTCCAAGTATAGATTTCGTATAAGCACTATCAAGTGTTCTGGGATTCCCATTCTTCTCAGAGTCAGCCACAGTTTGTTGTAGTCCGCACAGTCAAACGCCTTTGCATAGTCAATGATACACAGATAGACATTCCTCTGGTACTCTCTGCTATCAGCCTTAGCTATAATATCCCTAGTGCCATGACCTCTTCTTAACCCAGCTTACACATCTGCCAGCTTTCTGTTGATGTGCTGTTCCGGTCATTTTTGGATAATCTTCAGCAGAATCATGCTTGCATGTGATATTAATGATATTGTTTGATAATTTCTGACTTCTGTTGGGTCACCTTTCTTTAGAATTGGAACAAATACAGATCTCTTCCAGTCAGTTGGACAGGTGGTTGTCCTCCAGGCTTCTTGGCACAGCTTGGTGAGCATACACATCTGTTTGTTGAAATATGTCATTTGGTATGCTGTTAATTCTTGGGGCCTTCTGTTTTGCCACTTCATTCAGAGCAGCTTGAACTTCTTCTTTAATCACCACAGACTCATTGCAAAGAATTGCATTGGAGGCACAGAGGTAAACGGTTCGAGTCCTGTTCTCCTAATTGTATGCTGTTTGCTTTCTTCAGGTTGTTTTCTTTATGTCACTGTCTGATAGTAACTCAATATGACAGCGTACATCTGCTTCCTAAGGTTCCCTAGGACTGTTGTCGTTCTTATGTACTATTGATTAGGAACTGACCCATAGCAGACCCTCCAGTGGATTGTTGTTGTTGTATACTGTCGAGTTGGAACCAACCCATAGCTGACCCTCTGGAGTATTTTCAGAGGCAGCTAATCATGCAGGAGGTGATTGCCTATCCTCCTATGGAGCAGCTGGTGGCCTTGAACTGTGTGCCTTCAAGATTGCAGTGCAGCTTCTTGGCACAAGGTCACCAGAGCTTCCCCCTCCAGTGAGTAGGGGAAAATACTACAAGGGTGTTAGCTAAAACAACAATCTTGGATACAGAGAGGTTTTGCCCCTCTATCCTTCTGCTCTTAGTACAGATATCTTGTTTCTCTAGAACCTGTAACTCTGGACAAATCATGCCATACTTTGCCACCTTCAAATAAGAGGTACAATCAGGTAGTTAATCTAAACACATTTTTATTTATGTATTGCTCAAATGTTAGGGTACAAAATGTGAAACCAGGCTCTGGCTGTGTGCTGAGGTTTGCGCTTATGGTGCAGATCTGGGCCAGGAAGCAGTCCTCAAAACAGAGCAGAGAAACACTACATGGTTCAAAATCAGGAAGGGAGTGTATCAGGGATGCATTCTGTCTTCATACCTTTTCAATCTATATGCAGAGACTGGGCTTTATGAAGAAGAATGTGGCAACCTGCATTATGCTTGCTGAAAGTAAAGAGGCCTTGGAAGTCCTGCTGAAGAAGATCAAGACCTATAACCTTCAATATGTATTGCATCTCAACATCAAGAAAACAAAAACCCTTACCACTAGGCCATTTGTCAACATCATGATAAATGTAAAAATAACTGAAACTGTTAACAATTTCATCTTAGTTGGATCCACAATCAATATCATTGATACAAGAAGTCAAGAAACTCTGCTATTTAAGATCTCTCCAAAGTTCAAAGGAACAGTGAAGTCAATTCGAAAACTAAGGTGCATCTGATGCAATCCATGATCATTTCTATGACCTGCTGTGGATCTGAAAGTTGGACAATAAATAAAGATGCCTTTGAACTGTGGTATTGGAGAATAGTATTGAATATCCCATGTATAACTCAAAGAACAAACAAATATGTATTAGCAGAAGGGCACCCAGTGTGCTCCTTAGAGGCAAGTATAGTGAAACTTCATCTCACATGTTTTGGGCATGTTGTTAGGAAGTGCCAGTGCTTGGAGGACATTATGCTGGAAAGGTGAAGGGTCAGTGTAAGAGAGGAAGACACTCAATGAATGGATTGACATAGGACTGCAGCAATGGGCTAAAGCACAGTGGAAACTGTGGATAGCACAAGATCAGGCACGGTTTTGAGTTGTGCACAGATAAAGTCATTTTAAGTAAGGGTTGATTCAACAGCACCTCACAACAACAACTACTTGAACTCCTAAAACCTTCAACCTTGGGATACCTTGAAACAACCTCTCCCCGTTTATCTTCTTCCACATCTTCTCCAAACTCAGTCTTGGAAGTCCTCCTTTTCATGAAGATCCAATCTCTCCTCTCTTTTTGATCACTGGTTGTTTAATTTGTGCCACCTCCCAGGAATCCCAGGGTCTTATTTGACTGTATCTCCCTTTTCCCATCCACAACCAGCTCCGAATTCCTCATTTTTGTTATGCCATGGAGATCTATGCCCTTGCATGGAATAATCTTATCGCTGAATGGAGTATTTTTGACCTGGTGTGGAAAAGGACGGGCAAAGAAGGATAAGATCTTAAGGTTAAGAAAATATTCTCAAGAGTTGTTTCTCTACCCATTCTTCCTTCCATCTTTGATCCCTCTATGCTGCCTTCTACCTTCCAGTGACCTGCCTCAAGTAAGGTCCTGGCTGAAGTCAACGAAAACAGCATTAGTATGAACTTTAGTATCATACTTCTTGATCCTAATCTCCCTTCCCCAGTTGACGTGGTTGAACATAGCTCCTCTTCTGTAGGGTTTTCTTCAAGTGGTGAGCACTGGTAGTGGAGGCCACTTGGATGTACTGAAGAGAGCCACTGCTTGTTTGACCTATTGCTCTGACTTCCCTCCTGATGTCCTGACCAACGTGGCCTTCTGCATGTGAAATCATCTTTCTACTGCCAAGATGCTCTCAAGTTTTGGGGAATCATCAGCAGGTTATGGTGGGGGAAAAAGTAGAGGTACCCAGTGGACCCTTGTTACAAGAAACAAGAGGGATTGTAGATCTAGAAGGTTCTACACTGACTCTTTGAGATCAATTGTCTTCTTCACTGGGTATAGCTATGTGAAGGAGATAATCTTTTTTACAAGAGTGATGAAGCTGTCAAACATGACCCACAGCTTCACGTCTGGTATGAAGAGATCACTGAGATTGAACTACAGGGGGCCCATGACCAGGGGTAAGGCACAAATCTTCCATGTATGTCAACTCACACTTACCTGTCAACAATGTGTATCTTCTCACCATCCAGCCTTGGGGACCTGATATCTTTCCAGAGCTTTCCCAAAGATAATAACATATTATTCCTGACTTCTCTTGACTTTTTATCTTCCTTTCTTACCCTTTCATACTGTTCTCCATCTTTATGTATTAAAAGCTCCTTCTATAACTTAAAAAAAATCATTGCTCCTGTGTGCTGTGTAGTATTCCATTGTGTGAATGATTTTGTACATTATTATCTTACTTGGGAGGGAGTGGGAATCATTATGCATAGAGTACTAACTCAGTCCTGCAAGGACAAATATTGCATAAAACCATTATTATAGAATGAGTATGAGGATCCAAGGGGGATGAGGGATGATGGAAGCAGAGGGATGAGGAGTGCAAGGGGAGGGGGAAAATAATCATGGGGTTGTACAATTTGATGGTTAGGGGTTGAGGGAAATGGAAAGAATCTGTTCTCATCAGTGTATTTGAATTTTGTAAATAAACTAGCATTTTTTAAAAAAAGCTCCTTCTACAACCCACATATACATCTTTTCTTCTCTATTTCCCTCCTCATTCTTTCATTCCATCTCCCCACAGCTCCAGGGTTATTCTTAAATCCACAAATATTTTTATTAATTCTTTATTTTGTAAAAATATGGATAATACTTTTTATATGTCAACATTTTTCATGTATGCAATTCAGTGAGTTCAATTACATTAATCATGGTGTGTAACCATTACCAGTAACCTTTGCCAAATTTTTTATCTTTATGAATAAAAACTCAGTACTTTCTAAGCATTAATTCTCACCATTTCTCCTTCCCCTTGCCCCTGGTATCAACTGTCAAATGCTGATCTCTGTATATTTGCTTATCCTAGGAACTTCATATTAATGAGATAATAAAATTATTTGTCCTTCTGTTCTTGCCTAACCAATCAATATTTTAATTCTCACCCACTATGTGTAAGCGAGAGACCAGGACCACCATTAAAAAAATCCTTTTCTGCATCTCTAAAGTTCAGTCTCTACATCTCTTATTTTCTGAGATCTGGATCATGTCCCAGTCTCAAAGCCTCTAATACTCTTCTCACCCAGCTTCCCCACCTCCTTAGAGGCCCCAAATAAGCACTGCCATTTGCCACCATGTACCTCTTCACCTGCGCTGGTCAGCATGCTTCTGCCCACCTACGCTAGGTAACCTGTGGTGATCATTCTGCAGGGGCTCCTGGGATGTGAAGGATGGAGGGCTAAATGCCTGGGTCATCAGTCTGGGTTTCTACTTGCAGCTGGACTGGTCCTCCTGGATCCTTACTGGCCAAGCACCATGCAGAAGCCACCATCCATCTCCAAGGAAGTGACAGAGAAAGATATTGTGGACTCGCTGCCCACTCTCCAGCAGGCTCGGATACAAAAGACCTTCACCGAGTTCCTTGGGCAATGCCAGCCTGTCACGGTTGCTGGGTCATTGGGAAGGATTCAGCTTGAAAAGGGGGAAGTATTCTTGTTCTTAGTTGGCCCTGGGGCAGCACAAGAAGGAATATTTCTCAGGCTTTGCTTCCCAGGCTGTGCTGAAGCAGTTCCAGGAGGAGTTGGCTGCTCTGGATAAGGGTATTGAGGTCTGGAATGTGGGCCTGAACCTGCCTTATGAGTATCTTTGGCCCAGTGTTGTGGAGAGCAGTGTGACCATTGAGCAGCCTTGCCCGCCTCTGCCTCCAGAGCTCTTCTGTCCTTAAATGTCTTTTGAGGGCTCCACCCTTTTTGGGCCACATCCCCTGATGAACAGTTCCCAAAGCTAAGTGGTCAGAGTGTCCAGAGCTTAAAATTACACATTTCTCGTGTCAATCCTCGTTAAATATTAGAGCCTGACACCCTCTCATTCATTCTACATTCTCTCCTCCTTTGATCCCTCTCTCCTTTTCTCCTTCTCAAACAATCTACTTTACAAATGAATTTTAAAAACTTGGTTAACTAACAAAGCTGATTATCCGTGGTAAGGGAAGTGGGTTGATCAGGCTTTACTTTGTTTCCATTCTCCTTATTCATATTCCAAGGAAGAAAAGACAGATGTTTCCCTGGAATGGAAATGTGTTCTTGCAGTCAATGCCTCCTTCAAGAATTTCTTTCTCTTTCATTTAGATTTCCATTTTATTGTAGGTTTTATTCACGTTTGTTCCAAAGCATATCACTATAACTGGCCTAGCCCAACTCCTTTGGAATTATTTCTAACAAGTGGCATGACCAAAGAATTTAACTCTAAGCAAACAATATTTCAAATGATGAACTTTTAGATGAGTAGGATAAGGAATAAAGTTGTTAGTTGATGACTGAGACTGTTAATCTTCAACCTTCCAGGAGGCACAGTGTTTCTTTTAATCCAGCAGCTCCAATTATAAATGAGAGCTTTGAAATAATGTAGGCAAAACAAGAGTTCAGTAAAGGAAGATTCTGCAGCTTAAGCCTTCCGTAGTCCCAAGCCTCTGGCAGAACAAGGTAAACATTTCTTTTCCTGCAAACCAAAAGAGATTGCGGTTTTTCAATCTAGGTGAGCTTCCATAGAAAGACGCTCAAGACCTAGTACTATTGTATGCAATCTTGGCTCAGGTTGCATTCATACTGGAACAGTAATTGGCAAGAACAGACTGTAAAAACACAGTCTGGTAGTGCTCGTGGAGTCCTGAGGGAATTAACTTCCACTGAGGCTGAGCGAAACAGTCCTGTTAAAGAAACTAGTGGAATTGGGAAAGCCATTGTAGGAGGAGACAGAAGCGTTCTTCTCCACTTGTTATCCACCCTATGGGCTTTAAAAAAGAAAAACCATATTCATTTAGTTTGAGTTTGGATTTGGTGTTTTGGTTTTTTTTTAAATATATTATGGTTTCACTCACTTGTTCATTTCCACTGAATCAAAACCCAATTCATTTCTCAGTCCATTCATTTGTGGTTGGACATATGGGCTGTTTCCGTGTTCTTGCGATGATGAATAATGCTGCTCCAAACATGGGTGTACAAGTGTCCATTTGTAACTCAATTCTCATTTTCTTGAGGTATGTTCCATGCAGCAGATTCTCCATAACCTCACCGGCATTTGTTGTTTGCTGTTCTGTTAAATTTTGCTCTTCTTACTGGGGTGAGATGGTATATCATAGTTGTAGATTTGTTTGCTCTTGTAGAAATTCATGGAGTATTTAATACTCTTCCCCAATACCACGTTTCAATCTTCGGCTGGACTGGCAGATACACTGTCTGAGATCAGTCAGTTTGTTTTCAGTCTCCCACAGCACATATGTTTGTTTCATGACACTGGTGCTGGCTTGTTTTACATTTTATTCTTGTGGGTATGGCTTCTCTCTCAGTCTACTCAACTTTAGTGACTTGTATATTGCTGTGATACTGGAAGCTTTATTATTGGTGTTTCAAATACTAGGAAAATCACCCAAAGTGGACAGGTTTCAGCAGAGCTGACAGATTAAGAAGCAGGGCTGGCCATCCACTTCTGAAATAACAGGCCTTTGAAAACTCCACAAATATTGGAGGATCATTGTTGGATATAATGCCAGAAGATGAACCCTCTAGTCTCAAGGCACTCTAAAAATTAGAAACAGGTGAGCTCTTGTGGTCTAGTGACAAGAAACTGCACTGCGATCCAAAGGGTGAGCAGTTCGAATCCACCAGATTCTCTGCTGGAGAAAGAGGGACAATCTCCTCCTGTACCAGTCAGACAAAAATAATAAAAATTTTAAAAAAATTAGAAACAGCTGCAAACGTCTACTGGTAACTGGAATATAGAATATCCAAAGTATGAAACTAGGAAACTGGAAGTTGTAAAAAAAGTAATTGGAATGCATAAAGATCGACTTCGTAGTTATTAGTGAACTAAGATGGCCTGGTATTGGCCATTTTGAATCAAATAGTCATATAAGCTGTGATGCCAGGTTTGGCAACTTGAAGATGAATCATGTCACATTCAATATAAAAAAGAACATTTTAAGATGTATTCTGAAGTTACAATGCTGTGAATGATAGGCTTCCAGCCTCACACATAAGAAAAAGACCCATTAATACAACTACAATCAAGTATATGCACCAGTCACTAAAGGCAAAGATTGTTTCTACGAATTTTTGTAGTCTGAAATTGATGGAACATGCAATCAAGGTTCATTAATAAAAATTGGTGACTTAAATGCAAAAGCTGAAAACAAAGGAGATTGGTACTTGAAAAATATGGCCTTGGGGGCAGAAATGAGGCTAGAGATAAAATGATAAGATTTTGCATGATCAATGATTTATTCATTGCTAATACCTTTAAAAAATGTTTTCTTTTTGTTTTATATTGGTTTCATAGAAAATTAATATACATTGTGTTTCATCCCTATGAATTGTGTTTCACACATTCTTTCATTCACATTATGTTTCATACGATCATTCCTATACATTGAGTTTATAAAATTAATCACCATTGATCTACACCATTACCTTGTCTTTTCAGGTTCCCTCTGGATCTTTTCTCATTCCTTCACCCCCTCCTTCTGCTTACCAAACTCTGTGACCTCATGATTTCCCCCTCCACACCAGCAGTCCTCTCACTTTCCACCTCTGAACTTTTTTTAAAAAAATTTTATTTTATTAATTTTAATGAACATTTACAGAGATTTTAGATTTCTATTCATTCATTGTTGCATTTTTCTCCTCCCCCCAGTTCCCTCTTATCTTTGAAAAGTTAAAGAAAAATTTCTTCATTGATATACAATCCCCCTCCCCAAGTACACTCCACTATGCAACCTTTATGCTGGACTCTTGTCATAACCATAATACCCAATGATATTATCGCTTTTAAACTGTTCTCTCCCTCATCTGATTGAATGCAGTGTACATGATATAACCAATTTTCCCCCTTTGAAATTTTATACACATCTTAAACCATACACAAAATTCAACTCAAGGTGCATCAGAGACCTAGGGGGAAAGCCCCAAACTATAAAGTCCATAAGAGACAAAACAGCATCAAACTTGGAAGGCCTAGCCTATGTTACAAATAGGCTGACAAATAGAGGCAGAAATGCACAACCAGAAGAGGATAATATTAATGACTGGGATCCTCTAAAGATTATATCCCTGTGTGTGTGCATAAAAGAACTTTTCCCAACAGAGTTGAAAAGAAAACCTACTGACTGAGGGAAAAACATTTGGCAATGTAATCTCACACAAGGGTCTTATAACAAAAGTTTACAGAATACTACTGGGCCTCCACAAGAAAAGGCTGATAACCCAGTCACAAAATGGGCAGAAGACCTGGAAAGACTTTTCACAATAGAAGGCAGTTGGATGGCCAACAGACACATGAAGAAATGCTAAAAATTACTGGCAATCAGAGAGTTGCAAATCAAAACCCAGTGAGATACTATCTTACCCCAGTATCAGTGGCAAAGTCTAACAAGATGTCAATCAATGAATATTGGGGCGTTGTAAAAGAGATTGGAACTCTTCTACACTGTTGGTTGGATTATAAAATGGTACAACCACTCTGGCAGGCAATTTGGCATTTCCTCAAAGAGTTGAACAGAAATTCCATACAACTCAGCTATTTCCCTGCAAGGAATACACCCCAAGGATAACAGAACTGAGATACAGAGGAAGATTTGTACACCGATGTTCATAGCAGCATTATTCACAATAGCAAGAAAATGGAAACTGCACGAATGTCCATCAACAAAATGAATGGACTGAGAAATTGTAGTCCATTCACAAGATGGAATACTATGCAGCACTCAGAAGCAATGATTTTTAAAAAGTACTGTCTGATACACTTGTTATGCATCAGAGAGTTGGACAATGACTAGGGAGGATGGAAGGAGAATTGATGCCTTTGAGTTGTGGTGCTGGAGTAGAGTATTGAATGTACCCTGGACTGCCAAGAAAACAAACAGATTCATCTTAGAGAGGGCTAAACCAGGCTGCTCCTTGGAGGCAAGGATTCTGTGGCTTCATCTGACGTACTTTGGACATGTTGTAAGGAGGGACAGGTCCTTGGAGAGGGACATCATGCTTGGGAGGGTGGAGGGACGGCGCAAGAGGTGCCACCTCTATGAGGTGGATTGATTCAGTGACTGGGGTAATCGGGATGGGTGTGTCATAGGCAGTGTGATTGGCACCAGTCAGAGCAGGGCTTAGGGCTGTTGTACATAGGGTTGCTATGAGTTGTAAATGACTCAACGGCATATAACCATTACCACCACAACTACCGAGGAGAAACTAAAGAGCATTAGGCTGAGTGAATTTAGTTTCATAAGAAAAACCTACTTAAAATCATTATTGTAAATGGTGTTTGTGGCAACGACCACAGCTCATAGCGACCATATGCACTGAACCTGTGCTCTGAGTCCTGCTCTATTCTGGGAGAATCTTACTGTCTCTGACACACCTCATTACCCAGTTACAATGTCAATCCATCTCATCTGGAGTCTTCATTCCCACACGGTCCCTCCACTCTTGCAAGAGGGATGTATGTCAATATTTATGTGTTTGATTTCTCTCTTATCAATGTCCAATTTTCCTACATTCATGCCTGTCACATTCCACATTCCAATCACTGGTTTCTTTTTTAAAAGAAATAGAGTCCCTCTGTTTGTAACTCATGGTATGAGTTACATTTGGTTCATTGGGTGGTGCTTAACAGAGCTGTGCAACATGGTAAATATTTGTCAAAGTAATAGTGCTAGTATCTTGAGTTCTAGAG